GGCTAGAAGTCCCAGCACCTTCCCCAGCCAAATTTTAGAAGTGGAATCCACCGTTTCCCTGTGGAGATTATTCCAGTGGCTGGTTGTTCTCGTGGTGAAAAACTTTCCTCTTATGTCTTGAGCCCCCCTAACCTGAGTCTCCCCCATAGGAAAGCATTACGGGGTTTACAGCTGCGAGGGCTGCAAAGGCTTCTTCAAGCGCACGGTGCGGAAGGACCTGACCTACACGTGCCGCGACAACAAGGACTGCCTGATCGACAAGCGCCAGCGCAACCGCTGCCAGTACTGCCGCTACCAGAAGTGTCTTGCCATGGGCATGAAGCGAGAAGGTAAGGCAGAGAGAGCCTGCCCTGGCGCCCAGGGGTGCTGTGGGTGCCTTCCCTTCGCTAGGGTGCTCCCCGTGGCAGCACCACATGTACCAGAGCTGGCGTGAGCCTTGCCGAGCGCTGCTTGTGCCGGGGTTTGTCTTCTGCCTTTGCGCCACAGCCGGGGTCTCTTCTGGGCTCCAGTCCAGCGCCGAGCCCCAGGATGCTCCCCAGTTGGACGCTGGCAAGATAAAGACCAGGTTTAATTCACGGGTTGCTAATCACTGTGAATTACCATCCTCCTCCTCAGGGTCTGCTGCTCGGGCACCCGCACTGAGCACTGTCTGCTTGTCCTCAGCCCCATTCCCAGCAGCAGCAATGCTGCTGTTGTTTTCTCATTGGGAAGAAGAAAGAAATTCAGTCTCATGAAAGATCTCTCTCCACTCACTGGAATGTAAATGTAGGATCTCAAGCTCCCTGGCAGCGCCTCTTTCAAATGCTCTTTTTAAATGCTGACTGCATCTGTTTTACACTGCTGGCAGAACAGGCTTTTACCAGACGTGACGTGAGAATGACCCCGTGGTGCTGCTCAGTTCTCTGCTGCCTTCTCCCCTTACATCTCCAGAGCCACACTTGCCTCCCTGACTGGCGATAAACCCGCCCCTCCGCCCGGTGGCTCTGGCTGCAGCATCGCTCCAGCCGGGTCTCTTTGAAGAGCACTTAGTCCTGTCTGGAGCATTAATTAACCAGGGCAGTGCTGGAGCTGCAGCTGAGTGCTGCGCAGCCCCGGCCGGGCTGGGGTCACCTAAGGACCCACCGTGAGCAGAGTCTTCAGCTGTCAAAGCCGTCTGTGCTCGAGGTGTGGGGGGATTGCATCGGGATGGAGTCGGGGCACCAAGAGCTCCTCCGTGGCCCTGCAGAGCTTAACCCTTCAGTGCTCGGGAGCAGAGGTTCTTGGAGCTCCAGACATCCAGTCTGAGCTGGAGAGAGGGAGGCATTCAGGAAATGCCTCTGAAGATGAGTGGGGCAGCGCAGGGACAGTGCTCCATGTGCAGGAGCTGGAATTGCTGCTGCTCTGCAGATGGGCAGAGCATGGAGTGCACTGGATGCAGATGGGCAGAGCATGGAGAGCACTGGATCCCGTGGGAGATGTGCATTAGGAGGAGGAAAGGCTGATCTACAGCTGCGGGAGACTCTGGTGCCTAAAAGAAGCCAAGAAGTCTCCTGTGATTTGGAGAGTGGAGCATTGTGGAGCATCCCATTGCCCTGGCATTGCCTTCAGAGCCTTGCGCTGGCAGCTGGAGGCCCGCTTTCCTTTCACACCTCTAGAATACCTCAGCCAGCATCCATAGGGAAGGGAACCCAGCAGTACTGGGAAGGAGACACCAGCAGTAACACTTTAACTCTGCAGCCTGCAGTGACATTGGGTGATCGGGTACCTGCTTCGTGCCTACCGCTGGCAGTGATTACATGGGCAGCACCACTAGCGTTACAGGTCCATTAATTAATTCCTCCATGGTGGTGGAATTCCCCAGGGAGCATGTACAGTGTGAGGACTCGATTAATTCATCTTGATTAACGTTATCACAGTGAATACCAAATGAATTCATACCCATCAGGCAATTATTCAGAAGTGTGACAGATGGGATCCTCCAAACTTGGGCAGCGCTGGCTGGTCTGACACTGGCACTGCTGGGAACAGCTCGGAGGAGGGCAGGAAGCCAGAGCATCGGCACTCAGCAGATGTTTGGGGTATGATCCCCACGTAGGCAAAGCCGGAATGACTCTCCCAGTGCCCAGATAAACCTCCTTCTTGTTATAAACCTAAGAATTCAGTGTCTCATGGCAGGGTTGAATGTGTCCCAGTGTTATCCTAGACCTGACAGTGAGAAGCTGGATCTTGCTGAGCTTTGGTTTTGGGCAGCTCTTAGAGTTTTACACATGATACCCACCTGATTTGCCAAACCCCAAATCTTCCCATTGCATCCATCCCTGCTCACTGGTGTTGCCCATCTGCTTTGCCAGGCAGGAGCCTTGTCCTTGCACCAGTCCTGCTGCCTCCCCATCACCTCAGTTTGAACAGTTTTGGGCTAAATCCTGTCTTGCTAATTCCTTTTGCCTAAATACTCACAACATAGCTGGCTTCTTATCCTCTAGTGTAAACTTGTTGCATCTTTTAAGTAATAGAACCAGGATAATAGGCCTCATTTCCCCAAAAATTATCTTTCTCTGGAGATCTAATTTACAGCTACAGAAAAGC